CAAGAATCTTACTGAACTTCTAATAAAGCAGAGATTAATGTAGAGCTAAATGTTGAGCCGAACATGAACCAGCATGAGGGTTCATGTTCTTATGCATTGAATCACATTGTTATGTTTCATCATCTCAGCACAGAAAAATCCAACAAGGAGCTCGGGAAGAAAGAGACTGGAGTTTAAAAAATGTCCTAAATTTAACCTAAACTTCCTAAACTGAGCTTGCTTCTACCACGACCTGTGTGACTCAGAACCTACACAGATATTTCCAGTGAGGTCATTTCCTCAACTGTTACTGTTCAGACATTTCTGGAGAGAAGAATGAGAAACATCATGAATGAAGATGACAAGTTGTGGATCAGACTGACAGACTCAGCAGTAGAGGTCAGGGCAAAAAAATTATTTTTACACATACAAATCCTGATTTACAAGTACAAAATATTTATGACCACATTTTCAGCCCATAGTTAGTGAGTCCTGAGTGATTCGCTACGATTCAGCACAGCAAGGGGAGGGGGTGAGTAACTCAAATGTGCTGTTAGCATGTTAGCTGAGCGATGCTACTGTGAACTGAGGAGCTATTGTCTTGATGTGAGCTTCTACTCAGGGTTTTGTCTTCCAGTTCAGAGCAGAAATGTTTTTGTTAAGAATCTGGCTGTCCCCCCTAAGCTTATAATTAGCTTAGCTTAATTATAAGCTTGATATATTTTAGTTCTACTAATGGAATTAGTTTGCTAACAGCAACAGAGATGAGTCAGTGAGTCAGTTGCACTTGTGAATCATGATTCACGAGTCAGTAAAGTGACTCTCAAGTATTGAACGATTTGTTCACGAATCGAACATCACTAGTCAGGGCCTACCGGGGGCATTCTGTGAGATGTACAGTGAGGGTAACACGCAGACTGGCTCAGCCGCTTGTTTTTTTTAATATATATAGATGTTTGTTTTGAATTAAGTCAGTTGTTTATTTTCTATGTAAATAATCTTTTGTGCACCTGCATTTGTTCGGGAGAAGTTTAGGAGAGGACCCCGCCACACCCAATCACTTCCCCATAATTTGAACAGTGAACCACAAGATGTTATACAATTATTGTTTCTAAAAGCTTAAGCAAAGGGGCAAGGAAACATTCTTCTGTTTGTCAAAGAATGAGTAAACTATAAATTTTTACAGAGTACATGTTTCTTCAGCTGCCTTCAGCTGAAGAACCTCTCGCCATAACAACAATTTTGTCCCGCTGCTGTTGAACTCATGAACAATAACCATAAGTACTGTTCCCACAACAAACACATGACTCTGTGTGTGTGCATACATTTATATATCAATCTGCTTAGCACTTTTAATTTAAATTTTTATGTTTATGTAAGTGTTTGTCTTACAATATGTTTCGCAAGTACCGCAGCAACCTGCTCAACATTTGGCAATAAAACCCCTTTCTGATTCTGATTATAATGCAGAGGCACTTTGTCACGGTCTGCGGTGGGCGGACCATGTGTGGGAGTGTGAGGTTCCAGGTGCAGACATAGACGAGGAGACAGTGCTGAACTTGAAACGAAAAGCGAGCCTTTATTTGGGCTGATTAACGTGGCAAACAACAGAAAGTACAGAGGCAAAACTAAACTGGAAGCTGAACTGGGAAAACTAAGAACTGACACTTAACTCAGACAGCAGGGAAAGTGAAGACAGGGTGACAACGATGCACATGGGAGACTACTATGAACAGGACTCTGTGCTGGAACAACAAAGAACTATGAAACGTATACACGGAAGCAACATGGACATGACCAGCACCAGTGTTGGTCAAGTTACTTGAAAAAAGTAATCAGTAACTAATTACTGATTACTCCCCCCAAAAAGTAATCCCGTTACTCTACTGATTACTTATTTTCAACAGTAATTAATTACTTAGTTACTTTTTAAAAACACGATTTACAACCTGAATAGGTGATAAAGTGATAGATCTTTCAGCCCAATTCTACTTTTTCGCATAATCCATCATACAAAATGTAATCAAATGGAAAAGTCTCTTTTTTTAACTTGTTTTATCAGTTTTAATCTTTTAACTTTATGCATCAAGCACAAATTTAATTATATGCAACATTCTCTGAGTTGAATAAATGAGTTTAACATTTAAACCTATTTTCTACACATTCCAGCACATAAAATAAAATATTTTTTGTGTTTACACTCACTCTTTCAAATAGATGCAAGTAAAACACAGCAGAAAATAAATAAAGTCAAAGACTCAGCGGTCCTGTTGCTCTATTTTCACCTGTAAAGCAGGACTGAGGTAGGCGGAGGTTTACCCTGGTGCAGGTGTGCAGCGGTCAGTGGAAGGATACGGCAGTGTCGTTGCGCTCTCGGTGCTTGCTTGGAAGTTTAGGGGTTTT